CGAGGTTACGCTTACGCAGTACCGTAGAATTAATCCGTTGAGGGCTGTCTATTACCTCATTCTGAGGTATTCCCAGTATAACTCGCTTTTGCACACACAGAGCGCGGAGCTGAGTCTTGCACAAGATGGTGTTCCGGTTCACTACGATGGAAGATCTGGAGATGCTGTGGGAGCTGATTCGTCAGAAGCCGTTTGCAGCAAAAAAGCGCGGATCGACACTGGAGATGTGGGATAGTGTTGTTGCGGCTTTGGGCTCTGCCTTGAAAAAGGAGATAAACGTAAAGCAGATCCGCGACAGGTTTAATCTACTAAAAGCTCGCTTCAAGGAAAAGGAGCAGCTTTCGGCGCTGGCAAGTGGTGTTGAAGAGTTCATCCATGCATTTAACGTCCAGACTCACTACACAGACGTCGATGGGTTGATCGGGAGTATATGGAGCTAGAACGGCTTAATCACGAGGCTAAAGCAGCTCAGAAGATTTCTAAAGAGAAGAAGGAGGAAAATCTTGCTAAGTGTGCTGCTGCTATAGTTGCCGAAAGCCGTCGTCGCTGAGCCGACCGTGACGAGCCCTCTCTCTCTCTCTACAGCGACTCTGGTGACTCCAGTGACACTCAAAGTATTGTGTCGGGAACTGAAAGCACAATATCGACTGGTTCTAGCAAAGCGATACAGCGAGGGGTTAAGCGCTCGAACGCGTTTTTAAGGGAGATAAAAAGACAAGAGAAGAAGTACAAAGAGCACATGGATTTAAAGCAGCGTGAGCTCGAGCAGGGACAAAAGCAATTTGAAGAAAGACTGGAATTTGAGAAGAAACAAGCTGAAGACAGGTTTCAATTTGAGCAACGTATTCAACAAAGCAATCGGGAGATGATATTGGAGAGCACTAAGATTTTTGGTGCTGCTTTGGCTAAGAAGTGATCACTATGATGCAGACCCAAGACAACCATTTATATCTGGAGGAGACACACCGAAGTAGTCACTGGCTGTAGTTTCACCTCTAATGCATGTGATGGAATTTGTCATCAATACGCCAACTCGATACATCTGACTTACTGGCTGCGATCCTGTTCTTAAACTTGACTTCACATCCAAAGCTTTCTAATAGTTCACGATTTGAGCGTAGGGCCACTCCACGGAAACCCGGATCTTACTCAAAGCAGAGTTGATATGCCGCTGTTCAGGCGTCAAATTTCCAATAGCTCCATCGAATGGGCTTATTAGTACATCGCCACGTCCATAGGCGCAGTCTCCAAAATTTCGATACTCTCGAAAGCGTAAATCGTTTCGGATAATTGTACTTAGGTCGGATTCACGATACGTTTTGATGTCGTGATTTCTTCCAGGGTACGGACCACACAAATGTGAAATTAACCCGTTAGGAGTGACTAGAGTTTGAAACTTCAGTGCATGTTTACGTTTGTGTCCATTGTATACAGATTGCTGGTCCAGAAGCTTGTTTTTCTTTCGGCCTCGACGACGAGACGTAGGCCGACAGATTCCTCTTACAGTTCCGTCAATGAATGCCCAGATATTTGTATACGGACTGCCGACATCGAAAACAGCCCGAGCGTATTCAAAGAGTCGAGATGCTGCAATTTCATGAGTCAGCAGAACTAGATCGGCATATTGAGCTTCCAGTACGTCAAGTTGGTGGAGGAATATGTTGGACAGTCCGCTAGGTGATCGCCCGAAAAACTCTCGGACATCCTCCCAACGTACAGGAACTGCTAACTTGTACAGAACCACACAAAGAGCCTCAATAACAGTAGCTCTTGTCCTCTCGCGGGTAACGATATCACCAATATTCATCAGTTGGACGAGTGTACACAACTCCGACTTATCGAATCGAAAGCTCCGTTTGCATACCGAGTCGGATAAGGCATTGCAGTTGAATGGTACTCGGAGTTTGTTTTGAAGGGGCTGGTTGGCATGCCAATTCTGCAAGAATCATTGCAGCTTCAACGTAGAGATCGTCTTCCCGAGCACGTTGTAGACGCTGCAGTAAGTAGGCTGTTTTGTAGTGACGGGGAACGCCACGAGTGACTGATCTGATGAACGACGTGACCTGGGAATCGGTTTGAGCTTTTTCAGACGATGGATGCATTATTCTGTCTTGGTGCAGGCCACCGAGTAGAATCAAAAGTTGTCGTCGGACCTAACATTTAGGTCGTTGGGATAAAAGTTTAGCGGCGGCATAGGGACCGTAAATTTAGATCGATTACCGTAAAAAAAAAACTGCTCTTCTTTCCGGTTCCGATTGAAGTAAACAGTCGAAATTTCTGGTTGTGGTGGGTTATAGCAAATATTTGATCCGAAATGAACTACTTTTCGGTCGTGCTGAAGACCTCTATTACCTTGCGTCATATTGTGAACAGCTGCGTCATGTCAATCATGTTGGCGCTTGCTTTTGGTAATCGCCTCAGGTGTCCGTCCTGTGAGTACAACGTCCTGTAGTAAGAACTGCCAGTATCATCCCTGCCTAAGAGTACCATCGATTGTCAGTGCACGGATGTGGTCGGCTTTGCGGATTATTTCCTAGGGCTTGGCACGAAACAGAACGCATTGTAGCCCAGTTATCCACTCAACTAGACTGTACTAAGCTTCAGGATGGAGCGCTGACGGTTGCCAGGGCTCAACGGTGGACAGTGTACGGTAGCGAATACCGGTTTGATTGCTGACTGTCAACTCTCACTTACCAATTTTACGCATGGACCCAAAATAATTTCACCAAGGCCAACTACACCAAAATGTTATACACAAACGACGAGCTTCTCGTCGCTGTGCGCAGAGTGCTTCATTGGGAGCACGCGCTCGAGAGGACAAAGCCACCGCAGATACGTTCATTTCAAATCTGTCTGGCTTAAGTTTTTTTATTGGCGACAGGCGTAACATATGCCACTCCGGCTTCGTAGTGACAGATAATCCAGTCAATCAGTTCACAGGCTATAAAGCGGGACGACACACTCCAGGTTATTGCTGTTCTGCTTTCGCACAGAGGTCTCTGTCAACGACGTTTTCCTCAGTTTTAATTCAGCCATGCCCTAATATGATCCAGCGTGCCTGAGAAATGACGAACGTTGGCTTAATCAGCGAGGTATAGAACGTCAAGAACTCCATTGTCTTCCGCATGGGAGAGGCGATGAACGATGTCGCTAAGGACTACGCGTACGTAATTTCTTACCAGGTAGAAGGCGTCTACCTTCGACCTAAAGAATCACTGGAAGTCACCGCAAGACTATCAAAACGGAACACACCAATGAAAATGGCGGAGATGGCTGGTGTGTCAACATCGAAACAAAAAAGTGTCGATGCTCAGCAAGACAGGGAGCTACATCCACTCGGTTTATGCTCATTCTGTGAGCGACCGTTGACAGCTTTGGACGAACTTAATGGTCTACAGGGGGCACAATAAATCATGCCGGCGGCGATCGGAGCAGCAAGGAGCAGATCGGCCTGTACATAATAGTAGCGCACTACAGTTAGATCAAATTTACTTGAATGAATTGTCTTAAGGTAAGTAAAAACAACCTTTTCTAATACAATAATGCTGTCCCGGCGCATCCTCCAACCCACCGTTTGCCGCCACGTTGCGCACTTACGCCTTACACTGCTTTTGCGAGCACGCCTCGCGTGCTACTCGTCACAAAGTAAAGCATGTTAGCGTAAGTGTCATTACCTACTCAGATTGGCAATCTTGAACAGTAAACACCACCCTGTATTTGTAATGCCGAAGCTCACGGTCTATGGGTTACTGCTAGGTTTTGACAGTATAGCGCCATGGTTGGAATTGAGGGCGAGTATTTTAGCTGCCCATTCGTTTAAAAATCAGAATAGTCGCCTCATTTACCAATCGGAACTGCGTCTCCAAACTACTCAAGCTATCAATATGTGGAACTCCTCCGTTTTCCTTTGCAAACCCTCAGTACCGGGGTGGGGGTGGGGGGGGTGGGGGTGGGGGGGAATTACACCGCAACTGCGATCCATGCCAACGATACTTGAGAGGTGTCGAGGCTGGCCCAAATCAATGCTGGGTGTGGTGATCACATTTTACGTATCGTACAGCTTCGGCAACATTTAATGTACAGATTGGTGTATTGCACCATGTCACACGAGGAGGCTGACTCGTCTTTAAATCAAGGGTGTACTTGGAGTGCTTTTGGTGCCATTTAGCTGGTCAAATGTTGGCTTTTTGGTTTTGAGAACCATGCACCGAAAAGGTTCGACCACCAGTTTCCCAGTGAGCTCAATTCGGACACCAAGCAGCTACTCGAAAGTACGATTAAAATAACATGCACACTTCCCACACAAGCTTCAAAGTTTACTAGGCATGAGCAAAGACACAAATGTGTCTCCCAACGGCACATATAACTTTGATTTTTTTAAAAGTATGTCCGTATCTGTGTCCACCGTATACCTCCTCTGGTAAGCCAGCAACTTAAAAGTCTTCAATTTTGTTTACACCAAGTGGGGACACTGTGGGTTTAGGGGAAGGTGCTGCGGAGTAAAGCGGTGGGGTTGTGAAATAACGAGAGCAGGGACGAGGAGGGAGATGCTAGTGAAGAGACGTGGACAGAAGAGGAAGAAATAGAAGAATATATAACCAAACGATTCACCAAAGAGAGGAAAATAGAAATGTGTCCGTACCTAAACGTCTAGGCTCTTTGAACACGACCTGCGATTTCTGGGACGCTGAATGCGTTTTTGAGTTTTCAACAAGATATGTACCAGCAGTTCTCGAAGCGTTCCGGCATGTCGGTGAACAAATGAAAGAGCTGGATGAAGCAGACCTGGCGAGTCCTGAACCACTCTGCCTACATCGCTAATACTACCCTGCTCCGGTGAATAAGCAAGGAGTACGTAAAGCGAGTGATTGTCCGCGTCAAGCTGACCCTTTTGACTGAGCACAACAGAAGAGACTCGCGTGTGCGTTGGCTCCTATTAAGCGCCAAGTAGATATGTACTTGGAATGCTCCTCTCCCTCCGCGACCGAGCCCGGCTGGACGAAGGCGGTGCAGTGACATCTCTGTCACCACCACCGGGTGCACTAGCACCAACACTCCTCGAAGAGGAAACAGTGTACTCGGCTCAGAGCCATGCGGTCTATGACCCTCTCTCAGTGAGCTAGGTGTCACAACACCTCCATTTTCTGGGCCTCGCCCATGATGCCTCGACTCGCCGTCGACCGACACGCAGCAGTATGTCATTAACCAGATCCCTACCACTCAGTGGATTACGCGCCCTCGTCCTTACCAGGACAAACAGCAACCTCGTTGCTAACAAGTTCCGACATACCAATGTCCAGCACCACGGCTACCTCGGCCTCGTGCTCGCGCCAGTAGCGCTTCTGCTTCCTAGCAGAGGTGGGTTCATGACTTACCAAGGCTCCACTAGGAGTAGGGACCCAGTGTCTCCGACTTCCAGTCGATCCATGGCTTATGGCGCTCCAGCCATGTTATACCAAGGGTGAGGTCATACCTCGAATCCAGGTCTAAGACCAAACAGTGTTCCACGCTATCGAAGTCTAAGAACTTCACATTAAGGTCACCAGAGACCTTCGACACAGGAACAAATGTTCCCGTCGCAAGACGGACCCAGATTTCATCTTGCGTTCACAGTTCCAGTGCCTCAGCATACAGCTATCTCCCTTCCAGGGTGGAGCGACGGGCATAGTTGCCCGGGGCGCCGAGTCAATCAAGACTCTCCACGGCTTCACAAAGCCCTTCACGCTCGCTTGAACGGCCAGCAAGCCCGACTTGCACACACCCTTCTCATAAGAGAGCCCAGCTCTCATCGGTGCCGAGCCCCGTTGCCCTCAACCTCCTCGAGGCACAATAGAACTCTGTTCTTCCCCAGTAGACCGCCCCGCGTCTACTGGGAGTTGCCGTTCCCCGGTGATGACCCGGAGGGTTGGCTCACCGGAGCCTGGCGCTTGAAGCGCAGAGGGCAGCTCCCCCCTCAGATGCTTGGTGCTTTTGTACGTAAAACATCGGCGGATGCCGGCACGCTGCTCTGCAGCAACAAGCTTCGCTTCTTCATCTTCAGCATAGCTGAGGTCCATCAGTTCCGGATTGCTCGAAGAGCTCGCGCTACCAGGGCCCCAACCAGGTTGAGCCGACCTGAAGTTGTGTTCGGCATTCAATGCCACGTTCACCGCCTCCTCGAAAATAGGTAGGGTGTACATGAAATACTTTCGTTCAATCTTCGCTCACGCGGAGCCCCTCCATGAACACGGTCACAGTGACCAGTTTCGGAAGAGGGTCCGCAGCCATCCCGGCGATCAGAGCTCTCAACTCTTGGATGTAGTTTATTAACTCCTTTTTACCCTGTCGGTTAGCAAGGAACTTGGACCGAATACGGTACGCCTGATTAGGCGGCGCGAATAGACGCGACATTTGCTGCTTCAGCTGAGCCCAAGTGGGGAATGCCGTGTCCACTGCGTACCGCACATCAGTGCCTACTCACGGGCGCAACCTCCAAGCTTGGAGATTGCCAACGCTACGCGTTGATGCTCAGTTTGGCGCAGAGCTGACCCCATGGCCATCTCGACCTCGCGGGGCCAGAGAAGGAGATACTTTCCGCCCTTCTTTTCGAAGGTTGTTACGCTCACCAAGAACGTTTTCGGTCGTACAGACCCTTCACGCACCACCGACGCTGCCGCCGTCGCGTCGCTCATCCTCTCGTGTACATGCTCTAAGAGCGCGTTTTCATAGCGGGATAACGATTCCAATCTGGCGGTAACCGCCTCTGGACCTTGCGACGCAAGGTGGGCGATGCCCTCCAGGCCGAGCAGGGAAATAAGCTTTTTAAGAGCGCCCTGCTGCGCCGAGGACAAGCTCTCGAATACTGGGTGTTCCATTCCCACAGAGGACACAGTCAACCGACTCAGGTGCCGGATTGACTACAAATGCTACCAAGTGCAGCGGGGCTGCCGTAGCGTGGCGTCAGAGGGAGATGTTCGACTCAAAGAGTCCCTTAACCTTAGCTCCTCATCCAAAGGCGCTACTCAACCTTCTTACTTAGGGTTGATAAATTATATAACTCCAAACAATGCTTAGATTTCTCAAAATCCAAACTGTTTATTACCTTTATTTGCGGCCAAGCCGT